AAAAGAAAAAAATACTGTAAAATTCCACTTATATTAAATATCTAGAATAGGCAAATTTATATGGACAGAAGGTAGAAAAGAGGTTATCAGGGGCTGGGGTTAGGAGTAACAGGAAGTTATTTAATGGGTACTGAGTTTCTGTTTGAGATGATGAATGAGTTCTGAAAATGGATAGTAGTGATGGTTGCACAACATTGTAAACGTACTTAATGCCATTGAATTGTAAACTTGAAATTGGTTAAAATGGTAAAGTTTTGTTATATACATTTTCAAAAAAACAAATAACCGGATTAAAAATGGCCAAAGGACCTGAATAGACATTTTTTCAAAGAAGACATACAAATGGCTAACAGGTATATGAAAAGATGCTTAATTTCACTAATCATCAAGAAAATGCAAATTAAAACCACAGTGAAATATCATCTCACACATGTTAGGATGGCTATTATCAAAAAGACCAGAGATAAGAAGAGTTGGCGAGGGTGTGGAGAAAAGGAGACCCTTGTACGCCATTGGTGGGAATGTAAATTGCTACAGCCACTATAAAAAACAGTATGGAGATTCCTTAAAACAATTAAAAATAGAACTACCATATGATCCAACAATTCCATTTCTGGATATTTATCCAAAAGCATTGAAATCAGGATCTTAAAGAGTTATGTGCAATCCCATGATCATTGCAGCACTATTCTCAATACCCAAAATATGGAAACAATGTAAATGTCCATTGATGGATGAACATTTAAAAAATGTGGTATATACATACAGTGGAATATTATTCAGCCTTACAGAAAAAAGGAAATCCTGTCATATGCAGTAACATGGGTGAACCCGGAGGACATTATGCTAAGTGAAATAAGCCAATCACAGAAGGACAAATATTGCATGATTCCACTTATATGAAGTATCTAAAATAGTCAAACTCATGGAAGCAAAGTGTGGAATTGTGGTTGTCAGGGGCTGGAAGGAGGAAACAGAGAGTTGCTAATCAACGGGTATAAAATTTCAATTATAATGAAATTGAATTAGATGATTAAGATGTATAAGATCTAGAGATCTGCTGCACAACACTGTGCCTACAGGTAACAATACTGTACCTTACACTTAAAAATCCGTTAAGAGGGTAGATCTCAAGTCAAATATTCTCACCACAATACATTTAAAAAAGATTTATTAAAAAAAAAAAATGAAAGAGAGGGCCAGCACCGTGGTGCAGTGGTTAAGTGCGCGCACTCTGCTTCCGCCGCCTGGGGTTCCTGGGTTTGGATCCCAGGCGCACACCAATGCACTGCTTGTCAACCCATGCTGTGGCAGCGTCCCATATAAAGTAGAGGAAGATGGGCACAGAGGTTAGCCCAGGGCCAGTCTTCCTCAGAAAAAAAAAAAGAGTATGGACTTCAACGCTAGGCATGAGAGAGAAAAGAATTAAATTTTAACAAGGAGATGCCTTCACAATAAACTACATACCACAATTTTCTTCTGCTTATGTATTTAGTTTCCATAATAATATTACTTACTCAGTGTAATAATAATAGTAGTAGTAGTGTTTTAGTGTTGGGCTGCATAGCAGATCATCCAGGGCTAGTTTCTAAGCAATTCTAAAGTTGTCATTGGCAAGGGAAGGTCTTTTTCTGGAAGCAGCAGAAAAGACTAGACAAATTCAAGAACAGATGTACCAAGATGGTTGCAGATTTTGTTGGGAGAGGCTTTTCCCTAATGAGTCAGGATCTTTTCTGATGAGGTAGATCTCAGTATCACCAACAAGGCTGTGCCACTCCTGGTCTGGCCTTGGTAGACACCTTTAGCTAAGTAGAAAAAAGAATCTGGGCAGAGAAGAATATGGAAGATTTACTTACGGCCCCACCTATTTCCATATTACACTCAGAGTGCTAGTGTACCAAGGTTCTGTAGCTAAAGAGATGGATTGTATCATCAAAGATATAAAATGTGAGAATACTGCAGGTCAAGATAGGACTTTTAAAACACAAAGGTGAGCCAACTGGAAAATAGCAATAAAACTCCAATGAAATTATGGTATTCATGAAAGATCGGGAACATAGTTCTCAAGTGGCTGAGGAAGGACGTACTTTTGAAAAATGGTGACTTTGAGAAACACTAATAATTTTTAGACAGAATTTGCTTTGTCAATTTAATTTTAAAAGTAAAATTCTGAAAAAAAAGGCAAAAAGTTAATTGGCAGGTTTTTGTCAAACTAAAGTGAGATAGAAGAGAATTTTATTAAGCAAATATGAGAAACAATTATAAAATGCCTTAAAATTAGTAAAAAGGAGGATTGACAGTATAGAACAGAAAATCAAAAATTTTGAAGGTAAACTTAAGGAATTCTTCAAAAATACCAAGGAAATAGGTAAACAAATTGATGGAGAACATGATATACGAGAAAACTGGATATCAGAGCTCTCAAGCAGATAATCAGTACTCCTGAAAAAGAGAGAAGAATAAATGAAAGAGAATATAGAGAGAGAAAGAGAAAAAAGTATTGGGGTGATGGAAGTCCTTTTAATACAGTGGTTAATTCTATCTAAACCTGTCTGGAATATTTGAAACATTTGATCTCTACCCCGCCCCTTGTAATCGTTATCTATTGCTGCATAACAAATTTCCCCAAACCATAGCAGTTTGAAAGAACACGTATTTATTATCTCACAGTTTCTGTGTTTGTGGAATCTGGGCAAAAGTTAGCTGAGTCTTCCACTTCAGTTTCTCTCACAAGGTGGCAGTCAAGATCCAACTGGGACAGGAGCTGCTTCCAAGCTCACAGTGGCTGTTGGCAGAACTGGTTCCTTGAGGGTTGTTGGACTGAAGGGCTCACTTCCTCACTGGCTGTTGGCCCGAGGCCACCCTCAATTCCTTACCACATAGGTGTCATTATTTCCAACTTAAATAATAACAAAGCTCCGCCCTTTCCACAATTTCTGATTGCAACTAAAACTTGCTTTCTTTTTCACGCATGCTTCATTATTTCATACAAAGTTAAAAGCATTCCCAGGGGCCAGCCCGGTGGCATAGCGGTTAAGTTCACACGTTCTGCTTCAGCGGCCAGGGTTTGCTGGTACGTATCTTGGGTGCAGACCTACTCACTGCTGATCAAGCTATGCTGAGGCAGCACCCACGTAGAAGAACCAGAAGGACCTACAACTAGGATATACAACTAGGTGCTGGGGCTTTGGGGAGAAAAAGGAAAAAGAGGAAGACAGGCAACAGATGTTAGCTCAGGGCCAATCTTCCTCAAAACAAAAAAAAAAAGCATTCCCAAAACTCATAAGCAGCGGTAACTTGGTGAGGCACTAGGAGTATCTACAGAAACTCTGTGGTATACTAGTTGTAGAGCATAATTTAATCTGTTCTTTTTTTAAAAAAAAAAGTAGAGAAGATAAAAATAACTCATTATAAAAGCAGGCTTGGTGGTATATCTGAGGTGGTTAAATGTCATATCAGTGGAATTCCCTTACGCTCAGTAAGTAGCAGATCTAGTTTGGAACTAGGAATCAAAGTCTTTGCTTTAAACTGTCTAAATTGCTTTACAGTTCAGCTCCACAGGAAACTTTGTAGAGCTTGGGTTCAAAGTCTTAGGTTAAAAGACTGGTTTTCCTGTCATTCTCCTCCAATTGTCTATCTCCACAAGGGACCTACAATGCCTCTGCATCAGGAACCTAGTACCATCACTCCAGAATCTACAGGAATGTACAGATGCCAGTTCTTGAGAGCATATGTTTTATTTCCAGCTCGTGCCATATAGGTGGCTAGTTCAAAATTCATAGATTCATGATTTCCATTTTACCAATATATTAAAAAATGAGACTGGGACAGGAATTAAAACAAAACAAACCAAAAACAAGCAAAGAGTCATACATCAGTCACAAGTAAGATTATGGCTTTATGGGAAATAAGGATTTATTTCTGGGTTAGGGTAGGGTCTTCTGAAACCTCACACTGCAGAAAAGCTGTACTTTTTAGTGTGTTCTACGGTAAACTCCCACATGGAAAGAAAGGCTGCTATAATGAGGCTGATAGGATAGGTGGACTCTGGGTTTGCTGGGCAGTGAGCTTCACTTTTGAGGCCAGAATGAGCTCATCTAGAAACTCTCACTGCAAGGGCAAATCAACTTCTCATGGGCAAAGTCCCTCATGGAAATGAAGGCTTACAGGGGTGAGGTCTGTGTTGGAAATGGGTAAAGCAGACCAAGTATAAAATAATATATATAGCAGTAAGGAGGGAGTGGAAAGCACAGCCCTAATAATGGAAGCAGCTATGTTATTAGTTAGAATGATTTCCGTTGCAAGTAAGAGAAAAATCCAACTCGAAGCAGCTTAAACAATAAGGAAGTTTTATTGATCATCCACAGGAAGTTCCAAAGTGTGGGGTGACTCCAGCAGTTATTAATCTACCAGTTCAATGACATCATTAAAAGACCAGGTATTATTCTTTTCATCTTTCTGCTCTATCTTACTCAGAATATCAGCCTTGCCCTCATAATCACAACATGGTTGCAACAATACCAGATAGAATACCCAGATGCCAACATCCAGAAGAAGAGACAAGGATATCTTTCCTAGAAATTCCCCAACATATTTCTTCTCTTGTCTCATTGGCAAAATAAAAAAGGGGAGGGTTGTCCCTTCACTACCAAATCAACCACTGGGAAGGGAAATGAGATTATGATGATTGACTTTGAGTGACAGAGATTTACCCATGAGATGGAGTTAGGATCACTTTTTCTAAAATGTGGACAACAGAACAAAGTTGGGGTTCTGAAAGCAAGGAAGGATGAGGTTATTTGGTAGACAACCAACAATGTTTGCTCCACCACCAGTCAACTGAGCTGATGGTTGCTAAGGGCAATGTGACTCCAGTGTTGACAAACCGATTACTTTTAAAAAGCTGGAAATCTGGATGTTTATGGAAGATCTCCCAATTTTTAAATATTGGCAATAAATTCAAAACATTTTAAAATGCTTTGCAGCCAAAATCATTCAGGCCAAATAAAATAAATCTGCAAACATGTCCTTCAGGCCACCAGTTTACAACCTCTGGTTTATGCTGTTTACTTATTTAACTCAAATCTTCTCTAATTAGAAAGTGAAGTTTACTTTAACCTTGCCAGTAACTGAATTATACAAAATTCTATGAAAAAGTTAATTAATAAAGTTTTATTCAATTGTAGTAAACCTCAAATGACACAGCCAATAAGGATAACAGAAGATAATGTAGGAAAGAGATATTATATAAATCAGAGAATGTTTGTATAATTTTCTTCTTAATGGAGGGTTCTAATTTGACAAGTTAATGGTTAAAACAATCAAGATGTTGCTGGTAATCTTATGATGAATGTACAATTTCTATCCCTTCCAGTTTCCCGTGATTTCTTGTTTTTTGTTTCAATTAGAAGGTGAATTAATTTCTACCAAATGATAATATCAATGTGTTCAAAATATTAGTTAACATCACAGTAAAGAAAAGGGGGGAGGAGTGACTAGGAAAGTCACCTAATTAGAGATTTCAGCATCATAGCTGTTTCTTTAGAGTCCTCTTCCTTCCCATGAGCATAAAGAATAGAAACTTTAAATTCATACAAAGATTCTCGAGTATGTCTCTCTTGAAAAATTTTGTTTAACCTTTCAAAGCATAACATGAATCAAGAAATGTTAACTTCCTTGGGTATGAAGAACGAATAATAGTGAGAAAGTAAGTATATTTTTCTTCTATCCAGATTGTCCAATCTTCCACATTGATCATTTACCCACTAATCCTTGCTTAGCTGTTGCTTCAGACTTTTGGGTTGGAGCCCTAAAAGAGACAAAACTCTTAAATGATCAATATTTCCTAAATATTTAGATATTCTGTAACTTTGAACTATTAAGAAATTAAAATAAATTCTCTGTAGTCACATTTTCTATTTTATAGATTATTTGATATATCACAGTGAAGGAGTGGAAACATGAGAGGGTAGGGAAAGAAGGTGAGAAAAACACCATTCTGGGATTCAATTATCCAACTGGCTAATTAGCTTGATATAGAGAGGGTGGGGGATCAGGAGAAGAGTTATGAGATACTGGGTGATTATTCTATGGGAAATTTCCTCCATCTCACTATCCCTGGGGAATATTTCTGAGAAAATAAAGAATATTGGGGTCATCATCACTTTCTAGCTAAGACTCTTCCTTCTTCCTCTTGGTTATTGGCCAAACTCAGAAGGAAGACATATGTTAGCACTCATCCTGCAATCATACTGTTCTTAGGGAACATTTTCTAGGAAGGCATGGCTGGAACTTCTTTTCTTGATACTAGGAGCTCTACAAGATTATAACGGTTTGGCTATAGATTTCTTACCATAGGTGTAGACATTGGCTTATCCTTGAAAAGAGTAGAGGGAAATACTTTTGTGTCTTTATGCTATATTAGGGACAAAAATAATGGTAGGTCATTAGAAATGCTATGCATTTCCCATCTAAGCCACACTTATTTCCTTATTTAAATAATTCCTTACCTCCTTGTCACTCATTTAAATTCTACCCAACTCTCAGAGTTCAGTTCAAATTCCAGCTACTTACTCAATGAACCTTCCTCCTACTTTAACCACTCCAACCCCATTTATTTTCCCCTCACCATATTCTTTTCATTAGTTATCACCTGCTTTGGCACAAAAAATATATGAGGAATTAAGTGCTCCATATGTATATGACTAGTTCTCCCACTAGAAATGTAAAAGTTCTTGAAAAAAATGACCTTAAATTTTAGTTCTTTCTTATTTACTCACAATAGAGTTCCAATATGAGGAAATATGCTCAGTAACTACTTCAGTGAGTAAATTCTACCTTTGACTTCATAAGTGCCTGACTTTTATTACAGGTTTGCCTATATGTGGTCTGTTTTTCATATCCCACATCCTACAGAAAACTATGACTAATATAGACCTTATTCTATCTATAATATATAAAATAAAACATAATTTATAATAAAATTTTATATCCTTCAAAATAAGCATCTAGAAACTATTCTTTGAAGATGACAGTTTACCTCCTACCGCAGAACTATTTATCATTTCTTAAGAATTATATAACAGTAGAACTATTTTTTAATAATAAAAAATTAATGCCCATACTAATTTATAGATAGCAAGTAGGCTTTGCTTTCTCGGATATACCTATATGCTATGACATCTCAGGTTAGCCTAGGGAGCACACATTCTGATAAAGAACCCACAGATTTAGAGACACCATTCACATCGGGCATAAAAAACATTTAAAAAATCACCAGTGACCATCTGATACTTACAAGGAAAGAGGAAGATGATACAAAAGTAGGAATTGGTGGTGGCGGAAAATCCGGTTTTGTAATTAGCTAGTGAGAAGGTAAAAAATTTTAATTCAAAGATGGGGCCTTGAAAACAGGTGTGCTTAATGGAAAGGCTTAAATCATTTTCAGAAATGGAGAACTTATAACTCTACCCATGAGAACAGTCTAAACCTGTTAAGTTCAATTGCTTTCATTTACTGAACACATACAATTCAGAAATATGTCGAACACCAATAAACATATGATAAAGATGGCACTCTATAAAGCAGATTGGGACTCCTTGTACCAACCAAAGTTTCAGCTTTTCAGACCCAGTAATTCAGGCGGAGGGGTTAAACTTAGGAGTATAACGGAGAGGCACACGTTCTCACATTTTATATTTTCAAAAAGTTTTGCAGAAGAATCTATATTTTATATTACTGTTCATGGACTTCAACATTCTCCTAAAGCAATAATTGGGCATTGTGGGTTACGTCTTTCTTTGAGGTTAGATTGGAAGTGGTATTTAAGAGAAGTTGCTAACTCACAAAAGAAGCTGGAGGCTCATTGCCCTCGACTGGCAGATCGGGTGCATGAAGCTTCATCTGACTCATCTAAAAAGAAAAAAATCATATTTTAAAATAAAATGATCGGTTTCCTAAGTTCAGCTTCCAAATAAGCAGTCCTGTCAAGACATGAGAGATCAGAACTAAGATGACACCAAGAGACTGGATAGGAAATCCCAGTGGCCCAGAGGCTGCATTCTGCTGTGTCCAGAGCTATCGGAGATGGGTAAGTTTCCATCAAAAACATTATTACAAATGTCATTATCATTAACCAACTTCCGCTAAAATTTCTAAACTTGCAGGACACAACCAGGGCATTAAGGGTGAAACATATTAAATATATTGTCATACAAATAGACATATTATTGTCTTTACTGGACATTTGCAAAAGGGAAAAGAATCAGCCTAGAGTTCAGAGAGAAAGAAAGAGACATCTGGCATCTGTCCTCCTGTTCTTTTTATTCTCTTTGTATTTTGTGAATCACAGCAAAGTAGCTTCTGCATTTTAAGGAAATTCTTTTGCATTTAACAAAAGGCAAAGGAGAAATTTCTGAATGTGTAGTGACAGAGCTCACAATCCTCCCTACATACAAACTAGTGAAGTGGATTTGTAAAACCCTGCTGAGTAGAAATGATAGATAGGTGGTCAGGACAAGAGATCGAGAGAATCACAAACTGATTTGGCAAACACAGTATAAACTCAGGTTCACCTCTTGGTGTTGAACAGCCTTTTCCATCTGTGGTTTCCTCTTCTGTTTGCGTGGCCTGGTGCCAGAGGTAGACAGTGGCCTGTATGTGAAAGCAGATCATACAGATTGACTCAGCACTTCCTTCACCATGAGGGGGAAACTCAAGGGAAGCTGCCAATTTCCTTCGCCCACTGTGCCATCCTTGGTTATCGACTGGGTTTTCCTCTGCTCCTAGGACCATTTTTAGGTTTCCTTGTCCTGTAATCCATCCTCACGACCCCTTATTTTCTTCTTGATTCTCCACAGGAGCCCTGATTCCTAATCACGATGGTGTTGAATCCAACTTTTATCTAAATTATGTCTTTTAACCAATGATTCATTCAGTATTTATTAAAAGCGCATTAGGAGTGCATAAGTCAGTCTTTAAAAAATGCTAGAAAGATACCGTAGTTTCAAGACCAGGTCTGAAAGACTGACTGATGTAGGTGCAAATCAAGACTCCATCACTCACTTTGTAGGACTTGGACCATGTTTGTCAACCTCTCTGAGCTTCTGTTTCCACATCTATAAAAATGTGAAGTGCCTGACCTGGTGGGATTGTTGTAAAGATTAATATATAGCACCTTTTAATCTATAAAATGAAAATAATAGTTACTACCTCATGAAGTTCTTGTAAATATTAAATGAAATAATGCATGTAAAAGGACTTAGCACAGTGCTTGTCATAAAGATAGTGATCAATAAATGTTAGGTATTGTATTTTTATAATGAGTGTAAAAATATTTAATAGAGAGTTACTATTACTCTTGTTATTAATTATAAATACAGTGATTAACAGAAGAAAAAGGCATATCTTGCTGTGAAGGCTTTCCCAGTAAAAGGATACGCAGCCTCTGGTCCAAGAAAAATGTATCTATACTTATTTCTATGTATTTGAAGGAAACCAAATTAAATTGGAGAATTTGGTCAAATTCTTAAATTTAAAGTAATTTAGAAGCCAAAAAAATCCCCAAAGCAAGATAAAAGCCTACCTCTGGAGTTTCTTCTGTTTTCCTCTGGGGCTTTGGTGCCAGATTACTACAGCAACCACCACAAATATCACAGCCAGAGGGAACAGCACCCCGACCACAATGGAGAAGTCTGCAACAAAGAACCCCAGCCTCGTGAGGAGATGAGAAATTCCCAAATATATACCACACTAGTCCTTATTTCTTTATTCATCACTAATTCCATTTACCCTTTCCCCAAAGAGCACGCATTCCCTGGAAAATCTTTCATAGTCAGTAAAATAAAAATGTATTTTGATCGTGATTATTGTAATATTATTTAGATAGAGGAAATAAAGGAGACATCTATATAAAAAATTTCATATGATTTAGGTAAAGCATCATACTACAGAGAATCGTTAGATGGGATGATGTTTGTAATAATTGCAAAATGAAGGGCTGGGAAATTAGAGAGAATATGAAGTAAGGAGGACGGCAGGAAAGGAGTGTAATGTTTTTAAACTTCAGCTTTGGAATAAAACAGGGAAAAAGAAACTGAAGCCTTAAAATCACATTCCTGTCAGTAGCAAATGAGGAGCTGAGATGTGAATAAGAGAATTGATAGAGACATAAGTGATTGTCCTGATGATATTTGCTCTATATTCGAATTAATGTGGACAGAAAAGTAATTATGTGGCATTGTAAATTGGGAAATGGTTTAAACAAATTTCCTGGGTCTATATGGTGTTTCCTTTTTTACCTACTAATCTAAAGTAATGAATATTACTTTCATCTTTTGCTATCTCAAATATTCATTTCTCTTATGATAATCTGAAACCCCAGACACTAGGAGGTACAATTTTGAAGAGCAATGCAACCAGCTGCTGCTCTCTTATTACAGAGATCAGCAAATCAATAATAAGATTAATTTTTGTGTAAGTGCAAGAAAAGTTCACAAGTGTGAACACACATACATGTAGACAGAGGTAGATACATCAGAAGTAGAATTCTAGGTAAGATAATAGTTCAAATATCTAAAACTCTCCACCTTCCACAAAAATTCCTATCCAAAAAGTCAAAGGAAATAAAGTTCTAAGGCATTTCTGTTAGATATAGGATAGATACGTTCAGAATGAAAACTATGCACTTGCACTAACGTCAGAATTGTCACTATTCTCAGAAGTGTGGTGTGGTACCTGAGGAAATAAAGAGGAACTTGGCAGTCTTCACAAACACCCCTCATTTGAAAGGATGTGGTCCAGAGGTAAAGCTGGGGTAAGGCAGATGGAGACCATTGTAACAGGAAGCAGGTTTGCAGTTGAAGATGGAAATAGCTGAAGAGAAAGTACAGCCTCTTCTGTTTCTGGTAATGGTGGTCTAGGAAATTTGGACCAACTCTACCACTAAAAACAACTAATAAATTTTTACCAAAAAAAAAAATCTTTCTAAAAGCACAGAATTACTAAAAAAATAGGAAAAAATTACTTTGGAGAGATTAGTGAGAGAGCAGGAACCCAGAAAGGAAGGAAATGATCCTAGATGAAAGTTTAGAAATACAGAAAGGTGTGAAAAGTAAATAAACCAAAAGTCAACTCTAATGTAAACTATGAACTTAGGGTGATAATCACGTGTCAATGTAGGTTCATCAGTTGTAACAAATATACCACTCTGGCGGAGGAAGTTGATAGTGAGGGAGGCTGTGTGTGTGTGGGTCAGAGTACATGGGAAATCTCTGTACTTTCTTCTCAGTTTTGCTGTGAACCTAAAACTGCTCTAAAAAGTAAATATAAAATAAATGCATAGTCTCCAAACTAATAAAAAGAAAAACGGATTGATTAAAATCCTCAATAAGTCCACAAGAAAGGAGAGAAAAGAGACCATAGAACAGTCAGGAAAAGTAAAAACCATAAAGATTGTGAGACTAAAATTTAAAAAAGTGTATATGCTTTTTAAAAATGAGACAGATATAAAACAAGAGGATTCAGAAAGGATGGAAGTAAAAGTACAGAAAAATGTTATACCAGTGCAAAAGAGACCCAAAGAAATAGGTACAGTTATATTAGTCTCCAGGAACTATAGACTTTAAAAGGCAAGAAAACTAGAGATACACCGAAGCATTTCATAATGATGAAAGTGTTAAATATAAAGCAGAGGAAGATGGGCACGGATGTTAGCCCGGGGCCAATGTTCCTCAGCAAAAAGAGGAGGATTGGCAATGGATGTTAGCTCAGGTTAATCTTCCTCACCAAAAAAAAAAAATTGTTAATTCACTGGGAAGACATAACAATTCTAAACTTTTATGTAGATTGTAGCATGGTCTCAAAATATATATAAGCACTGATAGAACCATAAGTAACAGCCAAATTCACAATTTGGGGGATTTTAACAGTCCTGGCTCAGTAATTGGTAGAACAAACTAACAAAATATCAGTATGAATTAATATATCTACACACAACTAACAAACTTGGTATAAAAAAATATACTTTTTTTGTTTGCACATTGCACATAACTGCAGAATACATATTTTTGTGTTCACAGACAGAATACTTCCAAATATGGGCATATGCTGAGCCATAAAGCAAGTCTCAACAAATTTTAACATATTCTCAACACAGTAAGTTCTCTGATCCCTATGTAATTATGCTAAGTATTAATCTAACAATAACTAAAAAGTCTGCATGTGCATGTATGTAAAGAAATATATATCTAAACATTTCAAAGGTCAAAGAAGAAAGCAAATAGAAAATAGAGAATAATTTTAACCAAATGACAATGAAAATATCATTTACCATATGGGCTACAACCAAAGGAGTTCTTAGAGGAAAATTTATAGATTTACAATCTTAAAAGGATATATTTAAAAAGAAGGTTGAAAATTAATGAGCCAAACATCCATTTGAAGAATTTTTTTTAAATATTAAAGAAACTTAAGGCAAGGGAATGGAATAGTAGAAATTAAAATAGCAAACAAATGTAAAGAAAGAAAAAGCATAAAAAAATAATAAAAAAATTTTCTCTTTGGATGATATAAAAAAAGAGAAAAGACAATGCTACAGATCCCATTGATATTCAAAAGATAAGTATTATGAGTCATTTTAAACTAAAAATTTTAAATTTAGATGAAGTAGGAAAATGTCTAGAAAAACATAACTATACTAAAACTTATATAAGGAGAAATTAAAAATCTGAAGGGTCTTATAACTACTAAAGAAATTGAATCTCTAATTTAGAATATTCTTCAGAACTCTAGGCCTGCATGGCTTACTGACAAGTTCTACCAGATATTTAGGGAAAGAATCTTCCAATCTTATGCAAATTCTTCAAGAGAATATTAATAAATGAACACTCTCCAATTCATTTTATATGACTAGCATGACTCTGATACCCAAAATAAGCAAGTACAGTACGAGAAAATTACAGGCCAATAGCGTGAAGATAAAATAATAGCAGACATCATCCATCAATATATGTAAGAGATGCTATTTCTATGTTGAGTTTATCCAAAGAATGCAAAGCTAGATAAATGTTCAAATATCAATCAATTTATTTTGTAATACCAACAGAGCAAAGGGACAAAACATTTTAACCAATAAATAAAGAAAAAGTATTTGGTATAATTCTTAGCAAACTAGGAATAGAAGTGAACTTCCTTAATCCTATGAAGAGGATCTAAATATGTACAGAATACCTGCAGATAACAGAGCAAAACTCTGCAAGTCTTTCCTTTGAGACTGGGATAGAAACAAAGAGGTTGCTATCACTATTTCTATTCTGTAGTAGGACAGAAGGTACTACTCAGTGAAGGAAAACAAGTACAAGAAATTAAAATTGTAAAGATTAGAGAGGAATAAAAAACTGTCATTCTTCTGAAACAATATGATTGAATATGTAGAAAATCTAAAAGAATCTATACATAAATTACTAGAATTATTGAGAGGTTAGCAGAGGTATTTATTACAAAAACAAATACCCAAAAATTAGTTGAATTTCTATACTGTAGTAATAGTTGAAAATATTTTATCAAAAGATAAAAATTCATTCTCCCCAAGTAGATCTATAGATGTAATTTATGCTAAATGAAAATCCCAACAGGAATTGCGTGTGTAACTTGAGAATCTGATTATAAAATATATATGGAAATACAAACAGCTAATAGCCAAGACATTCTTAAGGAACAAAGTTAAAGGATGACCTATAAGATAGCAAAATTATTTTAAAGATACAATAATAAGAGTGTTATATTGGCACACAGTCAAAGGGGACCACCAGAAAAGAATTGATACCCCAGAAAGACACATATATACGTACACTTGTTTTACTAGAAAGGTGGCACTACAGAGCCTTAAGGAAAGATGATCTATTATGTGAAGGATGCTGTAACAATTGGGCATCCATTCAGGATAAAAATGAAATTGAATGCATCATACACAAACAATTCCAGATAGATTATAGACTTAAATTTGAAAAGGCAATACAACAATGCCTTTTAGAAGATAATATACGGATATATATTTATGACTTTAGGATTGGGAAAGTTTCCTAAAAAAGGACACACAAAGAAAAAAACCTATCAGTGAAGTGATTAACAAATTGACTACATTGCAATTAAAAGCTTCTGTTAATCACATGACACCAATAAGAGAGTGAGAAAACACAGAATGAGGAAAGTTATTTGCAACATATGCTAGACAGAAATAGCTTATATCAAGAATATATTAAGACTTATACAAGTTAATAAGGGGGTCAGAGGAGACAACTCAAAAGAAAAATAAACAAAAAGGCTTGAGCAAATACTTTACAAAAGAGGAAACCCAAATGGCCAAAAAAATAAGAAAAGTTTCTTTTTTAATTATTATTAGTCATAGAAAGCAAATTAAAACCACAATTACTACTAAGCCACTAGAATGGCTAAAATTTAATAAGTCTGATAATGCCAAATGGCTTAAAGGTTGTAGAACAACAGGAACTTTTATTCAGTTCTGCTAGGAGTGTGAATTTGTGCAACCACTGTGGAAACAGTTTGATATGGTCTAGTAAAGTTAAGTAGATTTGAATGACAATATTTATAGAAATGTTTTTTCATCATAACCCTGAAATATCCATAAAAGCAGTTAAAAAAAGAAACTGTCATGTGTATATGATATTGCAGCAAT